ATAGACACTCTTGATATCTTTGCAAATATTTCTGGATTAAGAATAAATTTTGATAAAACTCAAATAATCTGGATAGGCTCCAAGAAGAATAGTAATATCAAATTTAGACCAGACTTAAACCTTGAATGGAACCCTGAAACCTTTAGAATTCTAGGCATAATTTTTTCTACCAATCGAGATAAAATGATTTAACTTAATTTTGAAAGCAAAATCTTTGAAATTGAACAAACCATTAAGAGATGGATGAAAAGAATTATAACCCCATTAGGCAAAATTGCAGTTATCAAATCAATGCTCATTTCAAAACTTAATTTCCTTTTCCTTACCCTCCCTAGTCCCCCAGATGAATTCCTTAAAAAGATAAATACTATTCTTTCCAAGTTTTTATGGGGTAATAAACCAGACAAAATAAAGAGAACAGTTGCTTGTAAACCTATTTCCCTAGGAGGACTTGGTATGATAGATATTTTTGCATATGTTGACTCTTTGAAAATAATCTGGATAAAAAAGTTACTAAATGTTGATTTGGAAAAGAAATGGATAATTTTAATGACTAATACTACTCCTGAATTTCCTGATTTACTATTTATGGGAAATGATGTTCCACTTAAGCTTGCTAAAAAAAAAACAAACCAATTTTGGAAAGATTGTTTTACTGCCTTTTCTAAATATAGTAATAAAATAAAACCCAATAATTATGAAGAGTTCCTAAGGGAACTCCTGCTATACAATAAAAATATTATTATAAATTGCAAATCATTAGATAACAAAACCTTTCATCTCAATAACATACACAGCATACATTGCCTGCTAAACCATGATGGAAATTTTATGACATTGCAACAATTCTGTAATAAATACTTAAAAATAAAATTCCTTGAATTTTATGGTATTACAAGATCAGTAAATAAATACATGATACAATTAGGCATTAATAAAGACTTGCACCTGGAAACAACAAACAATACAAATATATCTATTGCCAATCTCTTTTCATGTAAAAAAGGCTCAAAGAAATATTACGATGTAATAAGTCAAATCGATGAAAGTTTAAAAGTTATTGACAAGTGGGAAGAGGAACTTTTAATGGATATGAACTGGCCTAGCTTATTTATCAGAGCACACAAAACTACTCTAGACCCTAAACTTAGATGGTTTCAGCTTAGATTGCTCCACAGAATTCTACCTGTTGATACTTATTTACTCAAGATGCATATTGTTGACAACTGTCTATGTACTTTCCGTACATAAATTAAATTATTACACAGATTTTTCAGCTAGTGTTTAGGAAGGGGCCTAATTTGAAGCGCCAGAAGTTGCGCCAATATTTCTCAGCTTGACTACAATAGATGAATATGTCACATGTATCAACATCACAATGCACATAAGCAACTGGTAAATAAGTGACGAAACATACTTGATGTTTTGACCTACATAAGGCATATCCAGAAAATATTGTACTTACGATAAACGAAAACTCCAATACACATATTCCAAGACAACTTTAATTATGAATTTCCTTTTCCTTCACAGAATTTTCACACACAAAATTGAATTTGATCATTAGATCCACACTTGTCCCATGTATTTTTTGTTCGTGGTATTTGGATACACTTCGTGCACAAGTTTTAAAATACAATCTGGGATCCCTTTCCCGTTTTGTCCACACCAATCCTTCCTCTGCTGCAATGTTTAATATCTGTTGCTTCAAGTCCAAGTAGCTGCGATCTCTCCAAACACTTCGGTTATTTAGCTCAGTCCAGAAGCAATGTGTTCGAATAAGCCATTTCATCAACAAGGCCAAACTACTAAAAATAGAATTTTAGATACTTCCGCTCTATTTTGGGTTCGCGCATGCGCGAAAACGAGGGACAAACATTGCCATTTTGTCCCTCTTCCGCTTGTTAGAATCGTAGCGCGGTTTCGGATATTTTAACACGATGCCAGCTAAACACTGTGCGTATGGGATCTGCCGAAGTGACAACCGCTATACGGATAGGCCTGACATGGCAGGGATCCATTTTATTTTGTTTCCTAAGTTTCACAAGCAGCCTGAGAAGTGTACAAGGTGGGTTCGCGCCTGTCGTCGAGAGGGCTTTACGACGGACAAGGTCAACAAGTACACCTACATATGTTCAAAGCACTTTATCGGCGGGAATGGTCCTTCACTTGAACATCCCGATCCTATCCCGGCAACATATACATTTGATCAGGTACGTGTTATTATTTGTGTATTTTTTTCATTATAACGTCAGACACATAGATCTAGATCTATGTCGATACCACCATAGGTAGACTAGGCCTAGAAGGTCAAATTAATGTTCGATGTTCAAAGTGTTTACTGGATATGTCATACCACATTTTGTCAATTTGGTGAACAGTTTTCAGATTTAACAACTGATTTAGATTTATTTAATTAGGAATTATGACAACATTAATTTGGGTTCAAATGTCATGGAAAATTGATTAAAGCAACCATGTGAGCAATAAGTAGATTCTAGGCCCATGTTCCAAACATAGTGGCAGATTTGTGCAGTCCATATATTATTTTTTTTCTAGGTGGTGAAATTTTCTAAGAAAAGAAAGAGCCCTGTGGAGAGATGTCCCCTTCCATGTAAGGTACCCAGGTTGGAACCCACTTCTACAGCAGGTGATGGCCTATCTTTACTTGCAGTGTGTGCAGCTGACCACCCATACACCTCTAGAAAGCACCTGGAGTGGCAGGAAACAGTCAATACTGAATTGGTATGGACCAAATTTTGTATTGCCATAAATGTATTACATTTGTAAAGTTTTTTTTATTTAAGCTGTAATCAGATGTAAAATGGGCTCTGCAATCATATTTAACCGTGTAAACAATGGTAAATATTAGATCCATATTTTGTTTAAGTAAAAAAAATTATGGTATGCAATTTTGGAATGTAAACCATTAATAATGTTATCCTAAAGGAATATTTTCTTTGAATATAGACATAGTTGCAAGTCAGCGTTAGCTTCAGCATGTTCAGCAGATAACTTGTTTATGAAAATGTCGCCTTACACCTAACCTTAAAGGGTTAGATTCATTAATGTCATTTCACCATGGCTAGATAATAAGCAGTTGTAATTTAAAAGTTATTCCCTGCCCTTTTCAATTTCATTGAAATTGATAACACTGTTTTCATTGATGCATTAAGCATTTAAGCACGTTGTGTGTTTGTTCACCATTTGTTTATCTTATTAATAGCAGCTGATGCAATCATTGTAATAGGTGGTATTATGGTATTGTTGAAATAATAGATTTTACAAGTATGACCTCAAGGCAACAGGAGGGGCGGTGGGGTAGCCTAGTGGTTAAAGTGTTCACTCGCCATGCCAAAGAATGGTCTCGATTCCCCACATGAGTACAATGTGTGAAGCCCATTTCTTGTGTCCCCTGTCGTGATATTGCTGGAGTATTTCTAAAAGCGGTGTAAAGCCATACTCACTCAGGCACCGGGAACTTACTTCAACCATGACATTGCCACTAAGATACAACAATTTCCTAACCATGCCTTAGATGTTAATGATCAAACATTATGTATCATTAGTTAATTTTTATGTCAACAGGAACAGAATGTCTGTGCTACTGGTGCTGACATAGAAGAGGCTACCTTGACTGAGCTCAGGTCCAGTGATGCTGCCTGCCAAGCAATGCCAACAACGAAGCATGAGTCCAATCAGACTGAGTTTGTGTGTTCCAGCATTCTGGTATCTAAAATTTATGAAAAGATGACAGCACAAGTCCCTGATTCAGATTGTGAAATAAGCAGGGATCTTGACAACAAAAGCTGTGATTTACTATTTAATAATTTGGTATCTAATAAGAAGAAATTCAAGTACTATACTGGCATGAAAACTGTTCATTTTAATCATCTTTTTGCTTCCCTTGGTGACAGTGTAAATGACATCTGTTACTGGCGTGGAAATAAGATAAGTTCCAGTAAACCTGGCAAGTGCCGGGTTTTATCAATCAAAGACCAGCTTGTTTTGACACTTGTCAGATTAAGGAGAAACTTTCCAACAAAAGATTTATCCTATAGATATAACATCAGTGTCGGTTCTGTTTCCTGTATCATTACCACTTGGATTCAGTTTCTGTACATGAAATTTATTACTTTGAAAGATCACATCTTTCCTTCTAGACATCTTATCAGGAAAACATTGCCATCTGTGTTTAAAAGCTTCAAAAACATCAGAGTTATTGTTGATTGTTTCGAAGTGTTTTCTGAGCGACCAAGTGATTATGGTGAGCAAGGTAACATGTACTCTCAGTACAAAACTCACAACACCTTGAAAGTTTTACTTGGTATTTCTCCAACTGGTGCTGTTACATTTTTGTCTGATGCATATGAAGGTAGCATATCACACAGAGATATTATCAGGAAATCAGGCTTTCTGGAAAAAATTAACCCAGGTGATTTGATCTTAGCCGATAGAGGCTTCAATATCAAAGATCTCCTCATGAGCCGTAGAGCACACTTGAATATTCCTCCATTTCTAGGCAAAAGGGACAAGCTGACTCCTCAAGAAGATATCTTGACTCGATCTATTGCTAGAACAAGAATACATGTGGAGAGATCAGTGGGAAGGTTGAGGGAGTATCGTATATTAAACACAGTTATTCCTCTTTCAATGAAACACTTAGCGTCCCAGATAGTTTTTGTTATAGGAATGCTTTCCAACTATCAGCCACCACTTGTTAAATAGGGCATGAGCCCATTACCATGATTGAATTTATAATACATGTGATAGGAGGTACGATAATTCTAGTCCGAGTAGTTGTCGTTATCGGCTGATTATTTTTCAATATCTCATAAATACTACTTTTTTTTTACAATAAAAAGCGCACTAAAACATGTACATCATGAACCAAGTCATCACTCAGCATCTATCGCCAGGTTCCATTTGCGATGCCATATATCGGTGATCAATCATGACTTGTCACTACCTGCAGCAAGAAATAATAACAAAGAGTAATATTGCGCGTCAAATTTTTATTGACACCTCATGTATATGTCCACGGCTGGCGCTGGTGAACAATTTTAGACTCATGTCTGTTTCAGTTTTCACTGCGTCCTTATCAAATAGCTACTAATTAGTTAATCAGTTTTATTTTTGTGAATGTAGATGTTTGAATCATTCACAATTGTGATCTGTTCTGTGTCATAATGTTCATACATATTATCCCAGAAAATCGTTTTTGGAATCATGCTAAACTTTCTTCAAAGACATGCAGCCATCATCATATGAGCTTTGAACCACTTTAATATTTAACAGCATTGTTGGCTGTAGTACTTCACCTGTGTTATTACATGTCCCTGAAGGTGAGATGTATCGTCATAACTGTTATTAGAATACAAGGTATTACAATTATTTCACTGTTTATCAAGGTATTTTTCCCAACAACTGCAGCATGTATTGGAATGATCATTTGAACATGGTATTGTTGTACAAATTGATATGTCTGTCCTGGGAACAGGCCTGAAACATTGACCCAGTCTCCGTATAGGAGGTATGCACACTTTTGTACAGCGTGAATAATTGACATGTCAAGACTACAAGAGTAAACATTACGGAGGTATCACTCAGCGAGAAGTATGATTCGTGGTTATATTAAAAAAACTACACACTCACAACCATTGTTTCAATTGTAACAGTATCTGCATGTCTCCACTGATCTAGTTTATGATAAAATAATATTCCAACAATGTAACTATTACTTTGAAAATAGTAATAATGAAAAATATTAATAACATTACCGCTGTAGATATGCAAAACATTTTTATGCCTTTCAGCCCAACCATTTTGTCACCGCCATAATTGTTTGTTAAACTCTAAACAATGAAAAATATGTTCTGATTGTGTCAACTTAGTACTTCTTGTTCCTTGAAAACAATAAATGTTTCAGGAAGTCATTACTGGTTTTGTTTTCATGATATGATTGTTTCTATTACATATTATGTATTTTAAACTCAAATGTGTCCTTTTCTCCTTCCTGATTCTGAAGGTACCACATGCAATTTTGAATCTTCGTTACATATGTACGATTTATGACAGTACATGTACTTGCATCAGTAAGTAGTTATGCGACAAAATCTCTTCATGCTGTGTTGATCAAAGTTAACTTGTATCCACATTTGTGAAATACTTAGTCCATGAAGTATAAAAATAATTACAAATGACAGTACTTCACATTTTTGGTAATTTACATGGTTGTAAATCGAGGCAAATAAACACTGCGGAAATCTAAAATTAGTGTTTTTTAGTTATCAAATGTATTCGTAAGAACATAACTTGAATACAGTTAGTTGCTTTGCTAAAGCTGTACACCATGCATACTAGTTATTAACTTTCATCATTCTCACATTGCATATGTACAATTAGAAGTGAAAAAATGTTGAAATGTTTACTAGCTTGAATAATGAGAACAAGTACTAGTCCTCACCATACTAACTGGAAGCAAAGGTGTTTCACTTTCTTTATGAATGCAGCACAAGAAAAATATTCACCATAAGTGTGGTACGATATGGAGCTCACCTAGTATAATGTCAAGTTTACACATGAAGTATATTGTACTAATAATCATGACAACCTCACAGGGATACACTGTACAGTGTATTCAAAAAAAGCTGAATTATACACAGGGATGTGAGCAGGTTTTCCCAAAAGAGGAAAATTCTAGGGGGGTCTGGGGGCATCCCCCCCCCCCCAGAAAATTTTTAAACATTTGATTGCATTTTAAGCAATTTCGTGCAGTTTGGACAACATTCACACCAAGAAATGTAAAAAGTCAATGGCAAAAGTCAATAAGTCAAATAAACAAGACGGCAGATGCATTAAAATTTCGAAATAATACATCATGTGATTCAGTTCTATGATCAAAGAAATGTTGAAGTGAATAAATGTAACACACTGACCATTAACTTCTGTGTCTTGTTTTTTATGGACATTCACTCATGTTACATGTTTGTTATGCTTACTTGGACAGATCAAAGGGAAGTAGCTTTCTTGGTACTCTCATTTCAAATATCTCAGGAACTAGAATATTTTTGTAAAATATTTTCAAGAGGCGGTATGTCTGTTCCCAAAATAATTTATTGAAGGGTATTCTTTCTACTGACATACCCTCAGGCGACCATATTACAAAGTCACAAAAAGATTTTTCACAGATGGCCATTTGCATTTGACATTGGAAATAATATTTATGATTCCTTTTCAATTTCAGTCTGCCATTTTCGAAAGTGCTGCAAAATGAATAGTATTGCTTCTTTGTAAGTTTTTCTTTTGCCTCAGTTGGATTAATGTTTTCAAGTACTGATGGGCACTTAATTTCTAAAACACCATCAGCCACATCTGTACTGAGAGACTGTAAGATGCCATCAGGGCTACATCCTAGTTCAGGATACTTCGAATTTATCCAGAAACCACTTGCAAGGCAGGTAAATGTTTCTACATATTTTAATGAATAGTCTTCAAAGGCTTTTTTTTCATTATGTGATCCATACCTCATGTCAACAGTATTAAAACAATCAATACCCCATACATGTGATGATAACAAGCGATATCTACCTCGATCTGTGGATACCATAGAACAGTCTTTACAAATAGATGCTGTCACTCTGTACCACCTGGCATTATGCCACTGATCAGAAATTGCTTGACCCACAGTACCAGGTACTTCACAAGGGCCAACTCCATACTCTGAAATACTTTCTTTCACATTTTCAATGAAAACATCACATTTATCCATGAGATATAACTTCAAGTCATTAGACAATTCATAATCATCATAAGTAATTTCTAGGATACTCTGCCATGAAGTATTTGTATCCAAGGCAAGTGCAGTAGAAATGAAAGCAGTTGCAAAACTACTGTCAGCTCTGTGAGACTGATCTACAACAGGACATGGGTCATGATCAATAACACGGTTAGGAGCTCTCTTTTTGCTGTACTGCAAAGTGTGGGCAGGTTGTGGGTTTCTAGTTTTGTTTCGGGGTTTATTCCAGGAACAAGAGAAAGAAGTACATGAGGGTGCTGTATAGCCAAAGTTGACAGTATAATCCTCTAATGCAAACAACAATCCTGCAATGTGGCTACAACGTCCAGTGGCTGAACCTACACAATCACATGATGCATCCTGGATGACTGCAAAATTATCAAGAGTAACATGTACATGGTACATCATACCTAGTCTGTATGATGGAAGACATTCACATTTAAGATAATAATACTCATTTTTAGAACATGTTTGAATATTTTGTATGTGGCCACTCTTAAAAAAAGCTCGTCCCTTCTTCATTGGCTTTGCAGTGCTGAAGGTGTTGTCCTGATCATCATCATCACTGTCATTGATAGGAGTGACTTGTGGTAGAGGCTGTAGTCTGGCTGATGCAATGATATACTGGTATATATCGCCATATGAGAAGGTTGGTGGGATGTTGCCAGAAGGGAAGGCCTTCCATCCAGTGATAGGTGGTGTGGGAGGTTGCCTCACAGCCGAACACGGACTTGAACTGTAAAACAAAGAGAAAATAGTGCAATACACAATCATGACACATGTATCTATTTGGCTATATAATTCATGCACCATTGCAACATATTATTTTAACATGCAACCTAATATTGATGTCAAAATGCACTACCGTATTCGACGTAATAAGCGCCCAGGGCGCTCTCAAAATTAGGAATAGGGGGCTGTTATTAAAATATTATTTTGGTGAAAAAAAAACAGTTGAAAGATAAATTTCGTGGTTTATGCTGACAGGCTGAAATGTTTATGTACGACAGATATATTTTTCCAGAATTAAATTGCCCATAATTAAGGGTCCATATAACACACGAGTGTGTATTATACGCGAATAAATAAGTCTTGTGTACATTGATCAGTTGGAAGGGGTTCTAATTGGGATTGTTCACTTATTAGCAAATATCGCCGTGGGCGCTTATTGGAGCGGGGCGCTTATTACGTCGAATACGGTAAATGCATGTAAAATTCCAAATTTGTGTGTCTATAAGTCTAACCCTTGTGTATCCACACATCAATCTTGGATCACATTCAATACCTGTACAGTTTATTTACCATACTACATAACTAATCTGTGTTATTTGTAATTTGTCATGATTTCGTGGGCTTGACATTGTCACATTGTGGGTACTTCTAGATTGTGTGCAAATGTTCCTATTACGTTTCACAGCAATAATCCAAAAATAAACAAGACACGGGCAGCAGACCAGCCTGTTTCAACTTTGATATATTTATTGGACCAGGGGACAAGCTGATTTTGTTTGTTGCAACTGGGTTTTCATGTCAACATGCACCTGGTGCAAGTATAATCAACTTCCTTAAAACCGAGCTATGTGACATTGTAATCACATATATGTGATGCAAGTATTATCTTTCTTAAGGGACCAATTATTTGATTTAATTTGCGGGTGGGGTGGGGGTGGGTTCCTGGGATTTCATGACAGAAGACCCAAAGGATATTGTTTTCACAACGCCAATATTAAGACATGAAGCTTTTGAAAATTAAAATATTACGAACATTTTTATGTCAACCTGATGGAAAAATATTTTCGGATTCCTGTAACAAATTCTTTTATGAGTTGATTAATTCAATTACAAATGTATTTAAGTGATTAATATAATTTTCTCAGAATAAATATGCTGTGAACAGTAATGGAAATTCCCTTACATTTTCTTTTTGGGTACTTTTTAAATGATGTTCCATTACAAATGTTGTTCACAATATTAAATCCATTTGACAAAAGTTAACAGAATTCAATGCCATTTCAATCCAGAAATGGAAATGCATCAATAATATTTCAACCCATTCTTACGCAGTCTTTGCATTTGGTCAAAGATAAAATCTGGAATTGAAACCTCATAGTTACCTGTTAAGAGATGCCAAAACATCTTGAACCTTTATTTGGTACCATTTCCCATTATCAATGGAAATGGCAATGTTCGTGTTCTGCTGAGCTGTGATGCACTCTTGACATCTGTGTGAAAACAATGGATAAACATCAGTTATGTTACAATTTCAGATATTGATTAATGAGTAGATGAATTCAGTTTCCAACCCCTGAGCATACTAGTAAATGATTGCATGATTACTTTCCATCTATATTATTACTAGTAATATTAGTCCAATCACTTTAATCATTGTTATTGGGTAATCATGATAATAGGATCAAGTTTTTTGCAGAGTATAGTAATATACATACTTTCTTTTTTTAAATAGCAATTTCATGAAGAATACTGACAAGATCAATCACCCCTTTAGGATCATTAGGGTTAGGTACCCGTTTTATTTCGAAAATGCCGAAATGCTCTTACTCGTGACCTGAAGCAATGGTGTCATATACTGAACCAGTTGTCATTTTGAAGTAATAATTATGCATATAAGTAAATAAATTAATTGTATACTTATGTTCACATAGCCCAAGTGTGTGAAGAAAAACACTACATAGAGATGAAAATGGCTATAAATTATATATTTTCGCGTGGAAATTTTCGTTGTGTGGGATTATTTATGCCTTAAAAAATCTGGAAAATAATAGTAATAATAACAAAAACGTTTGCATGTGTAAACAGAATCATTGACAGAGGTACATATAGTATTGGGGCTGCCAGACCAGGTTGTGGTCATCATGTGAGTATAATAAAAATAATATAGTAATTACCGGATTATAGCCCAAGCTGTTAGATTAGAAGGGTCATGGACGCATTAGGCCTAAGTGTCCATGAAATGGTGAAAACTGGAACAGTTATTGCCCTTTTTCAGACGAACGTTTAGTGCCCGAATTCTCTCATCCAGGCAAATGTCATGCTGATAACGAATACGACAGATTTCTATTATTCCCACATACATTTATGGAGTTGAAACACACAAATGTATTTCAGTATTATCCGTTATTAGCATAAACAAATATTACGGAAATCACTTCCGGTTTGGATTTTGATATGACGTCTGTCTCGTAAGTTATATGCACATCGGGTTAATCATCAGAGTACCGTAATACCATTGTAATAACAATCACGGCACGATACCTTTACCAAGATATATATTTCATAGATTCTCATAACTTACATATACTATTTTTAACGAAAACCAATAAATAAGACGACTTACCTTTCGACGAGTTCGGTCTTCCTTCCTGTCATCGGCAGGCCTCGGCACTCCAACCACCGTTTCAGCTGAACAACTGAATGTCTGTCGACGTCTGGATAAATAAACTGAGCTCCAGGGACATCTTCAAGCAGCAGAGACACGTTAAACAAAGGCGATGTAGAAGCCATGTTAATATGGATGCGGGTAAACGTCAAAACAACTGTCAAATAGAGGCGCGCGAAAAACTGCAATGTTTGTCCCTCGAAATATTATTGTGTATCACGTGACGCGTATGTGCACATAAACTGTGACGTAATCGATGAAATGGCTTATTGACGAATTTCTGCAACATGGTGGACGCACCATTCCCTAACTGCGATTGCCTGTGCCGTGTCACGCATGGTTGAGAAAAGAAGTGTGAACATACATATTCGGCTTCATCTGGTTCCACAATGAAATCTCGCTGTGACACTGATTCACTACTCCCAAGAATCGGCACTGAATTTGTCAAAGTTTCTGTTGCACTTGCAAGGGTGGGAAGAGAGGCGCCATCTTGTCGATTCGAGTTGTGAATCGGAATGATGTCATCATGAATTGGAACTTTCTCCACGATAAAGTCACCAATGTCATAATCGAAATGACCAAAGGCTCCCTGATTATCTCGAACAACTCTTCGTCAAATTAGGATTTACATGAAAATGTTATGTTGCTCATATTGAGGACAAGCGAAATTGCAAAGTTCTTTGAAAGTTGTAAGCAGCAACTCAATGCGCTCATAGGGCGTGTTTGCTAGGAGTTCGCGTGGTCAGAAAGGGGAAAACAAAAAGTTTTAGAAAGTAATGAAAGAAATCCGCAGTGCAATCCAAAAGTACCATGTACAGGATATTTTTTAATAATAATATTCACGAAAAAATATCTTTTCTAAAAGTGCAAATTAATTTATTAATTCATCCCAAGGTCGTAACTGTGATCACGTGGTGGGTATTTGGAAGGAATCTTGTGATGACGCCTTGAATGAGGACCAGGAAGATTGTTGAGGCACATTATGACAGATGCACGTCATGGATGGAGAAAAAAATGTATCTGAGAGAAACATTGTTGCTTTGAGCTTCGAGACAAAACATGAGTTCAAGCCGAAGTAGTTTACAAGAGAGGATGATTTGTGCAGCCAGCGACCTGAATAAGCTTGATGAAAATAATGTTGAAATCCATTTTCTCGCTCATGACAGAATTAATGTGAACAAGTATTTATTTGAACATCTTTTCGAAGTCTGTGAGGCTGTCCGTATTTTAATCTTTTTATTTCCATTCCGACGTGAAATAATATAATGTTTTCGTGTCTTAATTTTGCTGCCGCTGTGGAAAATTGTGCACCGATCTAATAAAAGAAATACCACTAGATCTTCCATTGCACCATCATAAAAGAACCAGGTCAACTTCCGTTGTTTATTAAAAATTCGCTTCCAAAGCAAAGCGAATCCATCTACATCATAAATTGATTCATAAACTAGATTCTAGTACAAAGTGTTTAATTTTTTTTTTTTAAATGTCATAACATAACTTACACAATTATTGAAAGACATTTTTTGATAAGTAATATATTTTATTTCGTCCGCCTGCTCTCTGGTTAGTTTAGGCTTGATGGGAGAAATACATACAAAAAATATGGATGGCCTTATGCAAATGACACTTGGCATGCCAATCAACAGGGATCTGGGTCACTGGGACCTGTCAAGTTTACTTCTGCATGAGGAGCTTCATCGCACAAGTGTGACTTTGCCAAAATACATCGCTACTGGGCAATGAAAAAATGTAACGGAAACGACAAATAACTACTTTGAAAATATTTTTTAACCATTATAAGGGGTTTTTTACACGATCTTTGTCATCCAGATTCCAGATGAGGCAAGTCGAACACAACGAAGAAAAACACTGTTGAAATCACCAATTGCCTATATATTGTGAGAAATGCTATTTATAAACTGCAGATGTACCGTACACTGTACACAGGATAACGATTGGTGCCGTAACACATATTATGTTTTTTGTTCAATTACACTGCTCATATTCATCACGACAAACATATTTCGTTCTCGTCCAGAGATCTAGAATATAGCTCAGAACGAGAACATGTATAATTTCTGTGTTGGACTGCTTTGGATAAGTCGTTGACATTCCACGGTATCATTTTATGAAGATGTGAAGACGACATGGCAGGTAGGTTTTGAAACCAAAGATCTACATGTTTGTTGAAAAGCCCTGGAATCGTTTGATAGATATTTATTACCATTAAAACATATGTCCTTGTTGTCAAACGGTCCACGTGGGTGGGTGTTTACATGACTTCACCCGTTTACGCATTAACCAATGAAATGTGTGTGTTAATTATGACGTCATATTGACCTGTCAGATCACTCGTATAAGCTCCGCCCACAAGAGTGCAGTAGTTCCTACCGCAGATGCCCCTTTAAGTATCAAGGAACGATAGCTATAATCTAAGACTGCATCATTGTCATCAAGGAAGTTCTCACCTAGTATCACTGCCTTTGGTAGTGTAGGCAGAACATAGAATCTTTGAGAAAATTTTTGATCCTCAATGACAAAATCTAACACAACTGAACCGAACACTTTATGCAATTCGCCGCCAACACCTTTAACCTGCGGAAAGTGTAAGTTTCCATGAGTAAGGTTTTCAAAAGCTGTGCTCAGAAAAGCAGACGAAATACAACAAATGGATGCCCCTGTATCTACTAAACAATTTGTTGTTTTTGTACCAAATTTTGCCTGAATTACACTTTTGGCAAGGTGCGTAACTAAAGACACTGTTGGAATTTCACTTTCAAAGTTACTTTCCATTCCAGACTCCATATTTGCCATGACACCTTTTAGTATGTACCATACTAAATTAAAGAAGGACAAGTAATCAACAATGTAATGAAGTACTTACAATATTTGAAGACTTTTTCTTCCTTGGTTGGTGTCTTTGGAGGAGTTGGTTGTCTTTAATCCAATGTTGAGGTCAGAGGTGGATGCAGCTTGCTCGTTATTCCATTAGATGATCATGGTTGAACATGCCCTCCAATGGGTTCTTGTAGCTGGTTGTAGTTAGTTCCTGGGCTCCGTGTTTCCGAAATCGACGATTCTCCGCCAAATTATTATGGTTCTATTTGGATGAACAAAACCTTCCAAATGGCGTGCAGGTTTTCATTGCGGAATTTGTCAGCAAAGAGCTGGAGTCACAGGAGACTAATCACAATTTTATTTACAAGAACAATTAACAAAGAACAATTTACAATATCTTAGAATATAGCTGAGGGTGCCCATAGAGTCGGTACAACCGTCTGGGCTGTGGGAGAGAGGTCTGCTTGGTATGAGCGTCAAACCCCTTCTGTTTAACATTTTGCTTCTGTATGTATTTAACAAAAATTAGATCAATAAAAAGGAATATGATTGGTTGATACACGTTTGGGTGTGTCTTATCGTTAATGAATGGCTATTGTTGGATATTATGTCTGGGAGATGGGATCTTGATACCTTAGGCTCGTATTTATCTGAAAGCTTTAAATCTATTAAACTATATAGACATAACTTTTGTCTTATTGAATAGTATGTCTAGGAGATGTGTTCTTGTTACCTTAGACTAGCATCTATCTAAAAAGCTATGACTGAAATTACTGATATTTTGTATATGCATTTTACCTGATAATATGTATTACTTGCAAAACTATAAATATGAAATGTTGTATAAATGTTACACAATAATAACTTATAAAAGCCCTTGCTGTGGATCTAATTATTATTTGAGAACTTAGTATAAATGTTATATCATGATAGCCCTATGGTTAATGAATGGCTAGACAGAGAGGAATACTTAATCCTGTTAATCCTGATGGACTGGCACTAATCTTGTTGACATATTTACTGGGTGCTTTGAAAGAGATTATGATATCACTACAGACGAGCTTGTATGGGGGCTAATCCTTAATGAGTCTAAATTGAAGTAATTGCTGAATGTTATTCTAATATAAGTGACGGCAGATTAACATAAATAAAAAATTCAAGGCAATTGAATAAGACTATGTAGACATATCTTTTGTCTTATTGGATATTATGTCTGGGAGATGGGATCTTGATACCTTAGGCTAGTATTTATCTGAAAGCTTTAAATCTATAAAACTATGTAGACATAGCTTTTGTCTTATTGAATAGTATATCTAGGAGATGTGTTCTCGTTACCTTAGACTAGCATCTATCTAAAAAGCTATGACTGAAATTACTGATATTTTGGATATGCATTTTACCTGATGATATGTATTACTTGCTAAACTATAATTATATGAAATGTTGTATAAATGTTACACCATGATAACTCATAAAAGCACTTGTTTGGAATCTAATTATTATATGAAAACTTAATGTTATATCATGATAATATACAGATAAGTTCACAATCAATTGGTGCTATTTTGTTTTGACAACCTCATATCAAATAGAACAAATATGTGATTTTACACTTCCATTCTAAACTAACATTCCAACAAACATGTATTAGTGTGTTGTAAAATACTTTCTGCTTACATGGAATAATACTTGTTAGAATGATCCTCTACATTAGCAATGAATAGAATTTCTGGCTAAACACAAGATGGTCTATCTAACATCAACAAACCTCATAATAAATGCTTCAAACATCACACTACTATTTATGATCTATGTGTCATAGTGACCTGTTCATGACAACCTTTTTTTTAATAGACATTTAATTAGCTAGGTTGAGGGTTGTTCATGTTTGTGAATGGATCATCTTGTGTACGATCCAATCTCCATCTTATGTCTATTGACAGACTCCAGATCCTTAGTCGTGGCCATGGGTAAAGTCATCTTGGCATTGTGTGATTTCCCCAACATGTAGTAACCCTCATCAATACATGGAAAGTCTGGAAACGAGCAATCATGTATCTTGTAAGTGCGTCTATTCATCTGAGATGAAGGTAATCTCACAATATTCTTCAGTTTATGCAAACCTCTCATTGGCTTGATTTAGGACTTGCTTTGTAATTCAATGTTTGTGATATCAATCAATGGATTGTCTGGCCCAGACTTAATTATTTACCAAGTAATATTGCTGAGTGCAGTGTTAAACAACAATCAATCTACCAAACGATCTTTGTAACCCCTGTTGTGAGCATCCGTAACCATTGCTTGTAACGGTAACCTTGTGATAACAGATGGTCATGGCTGGATGATGCAATTGCCTTCTTAGTAAGCTTGGGTGGTTGTGGTTCAGGGCTCTTGGTTAGCTTGCAGAGTAGAAACTGTGCAGGCTTGTCAGCCAAACTTAACTCTGTGGTGTCCAAACCTCCACGGAGACCCAAGGCCAGCTGTCTCTTGACCCTGCCATATGGTACCCCAAAAGCAGAGGTGTCCATATCTTCCCTTGAACCGTCAGAGGTATGGGTACCCTCCATGGACACGATCTCCTCCATGACATGAACCTGACATCAGACAGTCGCCCTGGTCCTATGGTGTCCTGGCGTGGTTGCCTCCAAGTCAATACATGTAGTTGTTATTGCTTACGGCCTCCACCTCATCTGTTATTGTGATCAGACGTCGTCAATCAAGGCCTCCATATCCACCTGTTCTCTTTATTACCTGTTCAAATTCACTGAGAGTGAGTATAGGGTTGAATTGAGGCTGGGTACCTTCATTAATCTCAGGTAGTGGTGCTGGTGAAGACTATCCCTTCGAGCAAGATCGCTCCTCTGATGTCGTCGAAGCTATAGAAACCGCACTATCTTTCTTTGTCTTCTGCCTCTAGCCTTCTTCCAGGCATCAGATATCTTGTGAAACAAGGTCACAGAGAGCGGTGTGCAAGGGGACATCTTGTCTCTAGTGTACAGAGAGTGATGCTACACTTCCAATAGGTTGTGTGTGGATCCCCGGTCAGCTCATTTCCCGCACTCAATGTAGGCTGTAGACGATGACGAAGAGGGTGACACCATCCTTCCAAACAACACATTTCCAATTACCTACTTATGAGATCAATTCAGCTTGATACACCAAATAATAAGATACTAAGTATCTATGACTGTTATTAGAAAATACTAGATTAACTACAGTGTGACAAACTACCAAAGTGTGCGAGAAAATATTCAGAAAGTTTTCTCAGATAATGACTCACACAGAGGAAAGAACTGAGCATTGGGCAGTAGAAGACTATTATCCACACAAGTAATTATGAATAGCTGACAGAGAAGAGGACTTCTGTTGAAAATCTACAAATGTTTATAGTGTGATGATAGCCAACATACAGGATTATGCCAATGATGTAATAGAGGTAGGTCATTCACAGGAATTATATTTACTTGGAAACACACATGCAGCTACGAAGTCTTTGAATCTTTCCATGATACTAGTTAACAACTAAAAAAATAGGAAATTTTGATTAATAACCAAACAATATGTTTCCTTTAACACCAACCTATAGTATTTGGTTTCCTTTCCTCTATGGCCATCTAATTTACAATCTTAAAATAATATTCAACCATAAATTATTCAATTCTGATTGGTTAATCAGAGGTTATCAAATCATTATGAATTGAAACAGCTGATTTGATGGTAGCGTCTTAATTTAACATTTGAAACCTCATGCTGCATGTTAGGCTACCAATTCAATTAAGCATGGTTAAATCTATGGGTAACCAAGCTCTACATTGAAAATACAGCATGTTTATGTCCTACATAAACTAGGCCTACAGTATCAACAGATATTAGCTGATAGATCCTTGAAGTTTATATATCACTAGATGAATAAAAGTAAAATTCCTGAAAACATCTATTTGCTGTCTCCCAAATGTGGCAGGATGCACCAATAGCTTTATTGGTCTTGACAAGCTAAGCTTAACATAACATATACATCAAGAATCCTTACTGGGGTCTAGTTTATGACCTAATCCATGAACACTGACCTGCATTCCAACACTGACCACCAGATGTTTCTCTACATCGGGGCTTCCCAAACAAAACCAGCATGGACCAGGTGGTTGCACTGTAAAAAAACATTCATTCAATTGGATTTCAAAAGTACAAAAAACATTTATTTGTTGTTCTGGTCATTTGCTACTAAATTGTACAAAGTTCTGTTTGTTTTGCTGTTTAATGCCGCAATGAGCAATATTACAGCTATGGCGGTGGTCTGTAAATAGTCAAGTCTGGACCGGAAAATCCTGTGACTGACACAATGAGTATCGATCTATGCAATTGGGATACAATGATATGCATCTGACCACTCGATCCCATTAGTCGCCTCTTACAACAAGTATAGTCACTTTTAGGGCAAGCATGGGTTGCTGAAGACCTATTCAAACCCGGATCTTCATGGGTCAGTCAACTACTAAACAATGTTGTAATATTCACAGTAAAAAGTTTTTGCATTATTCTACCTGATTCTGTGGTAATCTGTCTCCTTAAGAGTGTCTATAGGGTACATGTTCCATGTCCACACACATACCCTTAATAATCAACAACATATGAAAAATGATAATCCCATATCCCATCATGTTATTGGTTACAATGTACTGCGAAATTGTCCTGTGGGGAATCGTCCATGTTGGATCCCACAACCATAACCACAGTACCTGTGCAGGTATGATTATTGAACATTTGCTCAATGTGGATCTTGATGATGTTCTATGTAGAGTCTTTAATATATCAAAACATACAACAGGGGCATATATGTCCCTTCTCATCAACTCTCACTTTGAAGTCAAATAAACTTTACAATATATCACCCACACAAATACATGTCACAGGTTTGAATTCTGTAGCAAATTCTGTTCTGTGATACCATATATCCATAAAGCAAAATTACAGAACTTACCTCTGAAAATTAGGTACACTCTAAATATTACTATATATTACTAAATCACCAAATTTGAATCTAAATATCATATATTTACTTGCAGAACTTAATAACAAAAATAACATAACAACATGGGTATCTGTCTTTTCATCAACTCACCAATGATCCTGCTGAAACTTCACTCATAATCCTAATATTGTTTGGGATATTTTAGAAAATATGCAAATGTTGTGGTATCCAAAACATGACAGAGTTATCTCCCCTGTATTGTGTTGAGTCGGTACATGTATATAAACAGTCCTACACACCTTTCTCCTTGTCTCTATGGAATCCCCAGTTAGCAAGAACGCTTCAAGGTGTCAGAATCGGATCAGAAAACATGCCTAGACAAGTCGTCGATGAACGTTGAGCTAGGATTAATTTAATTTGTCAAATGATATTCCTCACCACACATATGGTTGATGAAGTCCGCCAATTTTCACGCAGGAACAAAACAACTTAAAGTTTGCATTCCTGATGTTATAAAATGCCACGGTTGCGTAGAAGATTCTTTGTAATATAACTTCAAGTGTCATAACTTCTACACTGAGATACAAGTGTAAACTGGCAAATTGTACAACCCATGAAACATCGACATGCTAAGGCTGTCAAAACTTAAAATAAAAAGAGAGCTTGTAAACTGACGTTTGACCATGGCAGAAAATCAACCTCCAGTTCCATAGTACGTTGATAACTGAGAACAATAATTATAGAATATCAACGCTACTCAGTGCCATTGGTTCAGATACTTTTGACATTTTAGATGGCTTCCACTTTGATAGAGACACAGATATAAATCTGACATTGATATCGTGTTAACAAATTTTGAGTCATTCTGTGTTGGTGTGGCACTCGTGAAGAGCAACCTCCTCGTGGTGAGTGCTGGGTAACGATAATAGCTCTTCCCCCGTGTGGATCTGGGGTAGAATGTGTCCACAGCACCCCATTGCTGGTCGTATGAGGCGACCAAATTGGGCAACCTTTTTGCCATGGGTTGGGCCCCTGTGTCGGCGGAGGACGGGCTTCAGGTAGTTGAGGACATTGGAGCCAGGAACTGTGCTTGCAGTCGTTCATCCAGTGTATGTAATAAATGTTTGAAAGTGTTTAAATCTGGAGACGTGGAGGGCCATGGCAGGACATGGATTCCCCAGAACTTGCACCAAGTCTGTTCTACCAGTGTCGGAGACATCTTCCCGAGGCAAGAGGGTTAACTGACTATAAAGTCTAGTTTCCAAACTAGGCTGGGATTATGGAGTTACATTTTGATTGGACTAACGAGTCTATGCATAGTCCAATCAAAATCGCTCAATGAAATCGAAATCCGGTTCGTAAACTGTCATGCAGACTTCGGTTGACTGCAGGATTTGCAAAGCATGTGCACCGCCAACTCTTTGTCAACAGATATTTTCCAAATCTTTTCATGTTTTTTGTCAAGGTGCTCACATGATTTGATGCACTTGATCATTTGATCTTGATTATTGATCAGGTTGTCTTGACTGGGCGAAGTCATTTGGTTTGAAGCAAATGCCAGTGATAATAGAGCTTGAATCTGATTGCTCCATAGGAGAAGCATAGAAGGGACATAACTCATAATAGCCACTAGCAGCGCTAGGATCGAGCCCAGGAATTACAACCTAGTTTGGCAAGAGTTGAAACTGGACTCAGTTAAAAAGTCAGTTAACTCTCTTGCCTTGGGAAGATGCGTAGGAGATGGCTGCCCGCATTACCATACTACGCCCACCAAATCTGTCCACCTTCTGTATGCATTGCCTGCGACGCCAGTAAACATGATGTCTACCATCCGCATGACGAAGCATAAAAGATGACTCGTCACTAAACCAAACTTGTCTTCAATGTAGTTGTGGCCATACTGTGACCTTGACGCCATTGACGCCGACGATGCAGTACAGATCGTGATAATCGCATAAATTCTTACAACCTAATTTATTCCACACTAGTGTGTTCATAAGCAACATTGGTTATTCTAGATTCTGTTAAAGGGGCACTGATCTAACGCAATTCCCCGGACTGGTTGTTGCCTTTGTTATTGTTTTTTCCCCCGTGAGTACCCGGATGATACGCAACGCAACTGAGCGTGACCAGAGACTGGGCTACCGTCTGCAAGGACAGCTAAATAAACTTGGAGGCTGGAGGCTATATTTGTTTTACGCATTTTTGCATAAACACTGATTGGTTAACTGTGATCTATAAAGATTTCGACAAAGGGCGCATGTTAATTAATTTCTTCAGCCTAAACAAACAGACAAAAAGAACAGCGGAGCTCATCGGATGTCGTCATTTGGAAATACCCCAGATGGTTATAGTTTAATACTAAAAAAAGTATCCATGCAAGGAAAGCATTTTCGGATTTCGGCTTGCGTCGATAATACGATTACTACTCCCTTGTTGTCATCCACGTTTTCTCGTCTAACCCTACACTTGTGTATTTGTCGTCATTCACTTGGTGCTCAGTTAATGAATTTATTACAGGTACAATTAGTGGGGGCGCCACTTATATTATCTGACAAAAGTTCCCATTTGGCTTTTATTGTGTCTGGGGTAATTATTCAATCTAAATCCAGGTTTGAAGTGAGTTGAAATGTGTGTTATGTAATATGCATGTGGCAGCCCAGCAAGAGATGAATGATTAGTTGATTTACTTTTTTTTGTAAATCAACGGATCGTTCCTAGTCATCAAAGGATTAACAGAAAATAAGTTGATTGATTAATCACTGTTATCTTGCACAGTGGATATGTCAAGAGTGAGTGTTTACATGTCTAGGTTTACTAAAACAAAGGGAATACACTCATATCATGGCGTGAAGTGCCGATGTAAAAACAACATACTTTGTTCAAAGGGTTAACTGATAATACGTTGATTGATTGATCATTGTTATCTATCACTCAATGGATTTTTTAGGAACCGTGGTCGTTAGTTGTCACGTGCGCTTTCTCAGCCGTCCATTGAGACTTGACACCTATGTAGAACACCTGAAACAATCCAAGTGATCAGTTGAGAAACGAACACGGGTTATAATATCCCGAAACGATATATATCTTTTAAAATATCATTTTTGATTGTTACTGAGACACGTGACATCGAATAAGTTTCTTTGTACAGCTACAGACAAGTGGGATATTGTTCCTTTGTGTGGATATTCACGGATACATTCCTCGAACAAGGAAGCTACCTAAAATTTATACATATAAATTTGGTAGGTTGTAATTATGAAATTTGCATTTTGTTTTCCTTCATTTGAACGGATTCATTCTTGTTTCTCTACGTCTTGGTTGGGACATTCTTCCCATATATATTACCGTCAATTTGTAAAATGTGATTCTCTCAGGCAATTTATAAAATGTGTAAATATTTCAGTCATTTTGACTAAAAAATCTGCCCAGGTTGATTAAGACGATCAAAAGGGCCTACAAACATCACAACAGATTATTATGTAGGATTAGAAGCCAAACAACATAGAAATGTACTTTTCAACGTAACATTTTCAGTCTCTTGGTGATGACATTACACATCAAAATGTTTGGAACTCGTTATCATAATAATACAGATGGAAATGTTTTTCAGTCACTTTGTAAAACTGAATATTTAGACGTTTAATAAATTTGTTACACATTTGACCAAAAAAAAATATACACACTATAAAAAAAGCAATGCTCAGGTGAAATATTTACTTTGTGTTTCAAGTCAAAATAGTGTAAACGAAAATCGCAAAATTACCAAGCAAGTGACTTATCAAAACTTTGTCACCATTACCGATGCTACCCACAAAGATACCTACATTTCCTTATTATCTCGAAAACTGTATTTCATTTTGTTGATCAATGTGACCATACGCCCTTATTACTACCCATAAAAGTGACTAATGCGCTTACGAATGGCGCAGCAGAGGTCGTGAACTAGTCTAGATTTCTGCTATACATCCGGGTACTCACTGGGAAAAAACAATAACAAAGGCAACAACCAGTCCCGGGGAATTGCGTTAGATCAGTGCCCCTTTAAGTTACTATGGAATGACTTAACGGGTGGTAATTTAGTTTTGTCAAATCTACACCAATCATCCATATATTCGTAAGGATATACATCTTTTCTAAGCAACAAATGCCTTGTTAACCGATCAGTAAATTGATTT